GGAACTAAAAACGAAGCGGCGAACAAATCTGTAAACAAAATGTTTGCAGCAGTAGCTGCAGATTGACGGTGACAGTGGCGATGGTTTGGGAACGTGTTGCGAATGCCTCCAGAAAGGAAGGCGAAGCAACTACTGCTTGTCCAGTCGACCAGCAAAAGATCCAGGCAGGCGACCAACATTTACCGGGTGCAAGCGTTTCAAAGGACTCTGCTTCATGCTTGAGTTATCATCTGCCATAGCTCATGCGCTGGCACCGAATCGAGAACGTTGGAGACCCTGTCAACGAGTCTGCCTCCTCCACCCAAAATGATACGCGGGCTTTGACATTGACTGAGTAATGCAATTGTGAACACGCACTATATTCAACCTTCACCAGCCATCAACCTTCATCGATCTTCCAAAACTAGATGAAGGCCCAGGCATGAACTTGCCATAAGCTTTCGCTACTGTGAGTTTTATCCGTGTTTAGAGAATGAATTCCTTCAGTTCACCATGTCATATACTTTGATGGTCACCACTGTAGTTTTTTGCAACACCAAAATCGACCCGGGTATGCATTTGGAGCAGCGGTCTGATTTTTACGTTGAAATAATCATTGACGAATTTGTAATGGTTCTTTCCATTATCAAGCAATTATTTATTTCTTCAAAAAATCTTCGACCTTTTCAACAGAATGACTTGAAGTCGGCTACGCTTAGACCACGTGACGCTCATATCTCTGTGAAGCCCTTACAGTCACCCTTGCATGCCTCTATGCGGGCTGTTCACTTCCATTAAAATGTATTTTATTCTTCTGTGAATAACGAACACAACTTTCCTGTTGCATTTGTCGACCCTGTAGAGCAGTAAGTGTCCATTGCCAAGTTTAATATGTTGAGTATTTCGTTCGTGAGTTGCTGCTAATACTGAAAAAGGAATGAAGTACGGTTTGTTTATGCATAACACAAATCAGTTGGTGAATCGGGTGACAACTACGGCCATCGATCATCTGATTGAACAAACTGTTTTCGTTGGGTATAAATAAACCGGGCTTTATGCTGCGTTCACTTGCTGCTAATTACTGTGGCTTCAACAAATTTGAATCAGTCCCTCTGTACGTACATCTAGTGAAACAGTTCAATATGTTCGCTATATGAATTTAAGTTGTTAGTGATTCTGTCCCGGTGCAAACCTATACGGCACAAAATGCACAGTCTGTTGCTCCAATTTTTATTCTCTTCGTGATTGAGGCAGTGACCAATTCACGTAGTTTTAATTTGACTCCAATTCCAATTTTCCGTAGTTGTTTCGCTGTAACTGGAAAAGCCTAATGAACTTTCAGAAGTTCTGAAACTAAGCATAAAAATGTTAGCTAGTCAGTTTCAGTTGTCGCTTGTCCAGTAGGGTTGCGGTTCATAAAAATGTAACGAGAGCTGTTCTATGTTTCGTATTTTATTGAACGTGGCGGTTGTAATTTGATCGTAAATTTGCTAGATCTAAGGAAAAGTAGTAACCATGGGAAAGTAGTTAATGCGTAGATGATGCGTACCAGAGATGAGATCATGCTGCACGCCATCCTTTAGTAAGGTGTTGTGGATGGCAAATGATTGATAATTTCTTCCAAAGTTTAAATAAGACCATCATTAAAAAAATTTTCAACTGTTTCATCGGTGAATACGTTCAAATTGAGCAGATAGAAAGTCGGTGTTCAGCTGTATGATGCTTGTTGCTGAACACTGGTTCTTTACACCTTGTTTTTGCTTGTTTTTCATCGCTTTGATCGCCTAATCATCTTTCATCGTTTCATCGTTCATTTTCCATTGCATTGAAATTCTGCAAAAATACAACCCGCTCCCCTTAATTTACATTATTCGTTAACCGAACGACAAATGCGCAAGATCTGTAGTCGTCCGAGCGTTTTGCCAGGCCATGAATAGGCAGAAACTCGTCCATTTCAGACGGTTTCAGACGTGCGGCAAAAATCTGAAACAACATACCTGCGAACAATCAATAAATTACCAGTAGCATGAAATAGGGCGTAATTTGCCGAAAAGTTTACATAGGTGAATAATCACGCGCTGACGTCTTCAAGACCAGTGTTTTCAAAATCAACAGCACTTCAATGAAATCATAAGCGTGGAAATTCAAAATGAAAGAGCGACAAATAACCGAGCGTTGTTTGAAAAACAATGAACTAATTGCTCTCTGCGAATTTACTAAACTCTCAGTAAACCCAGAAATATGAAGCAGTTAAGAAACGTTGTGCTGCGTGTCGAACTGCACACGCAAAGTGGCAGTGATTGATTGCCAGGGCGTGTTCCGCAACAGGGTTCCGCGATATTTTTACGTGACCTTTCGCTAGGAAACATTTTCCGACTTTCTAAGCTTAAGCGGTACCATTCATTTGCTCCTTGGTAGCATTATTTTTGGGCCAAACCAACCTCCATTACATCCGTCTGTAGAAATGAACATTCGACGCTAGTATGCTCAAGACTGCGACGTTTTGACATAATTCAATGGGTTTTGCACTTCCTTGGCTTTTGCGATGTCCCCAATCAACTGCAACGTGTCTTTTACAGTGTGATCCAGTAGAATAGGTATTCTCCAAGGTGACAGTAGTGTGACTCCATGATACTACGCGAAAACGAGCACTTTAAATATAGGAGTGAAGATCTCAAATCCACTAATTTGGGAAATTACTGAGGTCCGCATTTCAGAGAAATCGCGCAGAGAAATACGGGCGTAACACAGCTAAGAAGCATATTTAGTAAGCAGGGATTCGAATTTGTTCTTCATAGATGAATCTGCACTCTTCACTAATGTTGACGGACAGTTGCTTAACGCCAGCCTGACTCAACTGCATAAACACCTGTTTGGACACAATAACCTATATATTATTTCTAGCAAATACAAACACGTCGATGGATCATAACAGTAGCCTCAATTTGTGTCGTTGTTCTTATGTGAAAACGCGTGATATTCAGGATACAATTTCATGTCAATAACTTCGAAAATCTGCTTGGATGAGTTCATGTTCATTCGTACCAAAACATCTTTCATTTTAATCTTTATCGTCGTCTTTTAAGTTGCCGTCGACTCTTGGGTTTGATTCCAGTGATCCTTCTGCAATATTT